TGCCAATGGTTTCGCTATTCATCGACTCTTGGCTTCGCGAGAAAGGCATCACTTTATTACGGGTCGCTTCGATCAACTGTCGCCACCGATTGCCGCCCCGGCGTTTGGCCGCCAAACCCCTCGCCAGCCGAGAGAAACGACTTCTCGACGACGAAGACTTGAGCTTATTTGGCGATCGCGGCGATGGCGTCGCCTCGTAGTCAAAGTCGTCCTCAAAACTGGTCACCCGATCCATCATTAAGAAGTCAAAGTTGAAGCCCTTCATCAGTCGCCTCTCCCTCTGTCGGCCCCGTTTGCCAACCGATGTGGACGTCCCGTCTTTGCCTGTCGTTTCAAATGACAAAATAGTTTTGTATTAAAATTGCAAATTCATTCATTTGTTAATGAATGCCAACCCTTATTAGTGCCGAGCATTTCCAGCAATTCATATCTAAGAGCACTGATGTCTTGTTTAATTTCGTTGCAATCGTCTTCAGTGACACCCCTTTGTCTCTCTTGTATCCGCTGTTCGCTCGTTATATACCGTCTGACCAGAGATCGCATAACCGATTGATATTTGTGATCCCTTTCACTCGCTTTACGCGCTTTTCTCTGATATATTGATTGAAAAAATGCAATAAAATAATGCAAAAATAACAGCAACTGATAAACAGACTCTGATTGTCCTCATGGCCTCATTCTTGGCTTTGCGGGTCTGTCCGCAGAATTTGTTATAAAACCATTTCAGTAGATATATAATAGACTTCGGCGACGGTATGACATTGAAAGGCGGCGGAACCGTTTCACCATCATTGAAATAACTCATCCATAGTTTGCTTCGCGCAAACTTCCACTCCTTATCTGATTGTTCCTGTTATGGCATTTCATTACATATACAGTATATCAATGATTGTTATCAATAATACATGTATGACAATAATTTATGTTGTATTTTGCATACATTAGCGGACAAAACACTGTTAACACACTTACGCTTATCATCTGATATGAATGGTTCATCATTGCGATCAACAGATTCAATAAGACGATCACATTTATCACACTATACGAGCCAAACATTAATAGGCCCCAGAATCTGGTGTAACTTTGAATACCTAAATATAGATACGTGGTTTGAGTGATTATGATGGTGAATTTGGCATTTATAAATAGGTTATAATGATGTTAATAATGGTAAGAACAGTAAACCTGCTAATTCGAAATTCTCGAGATCTATGAGACCAAAACTCGCCCAAAACAGTGTTTGAATCGTTTCAAACAAACTATTGTCAAAATATTAATGTCATTAATTAGTTAAGCGCTTAAAAGTACATTCATATGATATGCCATTCATTAAAGGTTTACACAAATTTAATCTATTTTAATAACCAATGCATATTAATATTAGTGAATTCTTATAATCATTATGCTTATATGTGTAATCAATTGTATGGACACATACTTTGCAAATCGTCTCCATGTAAAACATGCATCGGGGTGTTGAGTGGCCATTTCGGTGTGATTTTTGGACAACGTGGGTGTTTTCTGCTGTATTAGACACAACTGCTTCTCCATATCGGCGTAATACCTGTTGCCATACAATTACACATATTTTTAAATATGTTTGAAAACAATGGCAATGATATGAGTGAATACCAGAGCAATTGATTCATTCCGCAGGCAAACGAAAACAGCACTAATGTATAAACGCTGAAGAATTTAAGGATATCGATGACCATTCGGCCCAAACTGATCTGAAGGGGTCCCAAATGGGGGTAAACAGTGTTTGAATCGTTTCAAACAAACTATTGTCAAAATATTAATGTCATTAATTAGTTAAGCGCTTAAAAGTACATTCATATGATATGCCATTCATTAAAGGTTTACACAAATTTAATCTATTTTGAAAACCAATGCATATTAATATTAGTGAATTTATCATCATTATCATTATACGTGTAATCAATTATATGGACACATACTTTGCAAATCGTCTCCATGTAAAACATGCGTCTGGATGTTGAGTGGCCATATCGGTGGCCAGAGTGTGATTTTTGGACGACGTTTTTGTGTGCTGTGAAATACACAACTGCTTCTCCATATCGGCGTAATACCTGTTGCCATACAATTACACACATTTAAAAATATGTTTGAAAACAATGGCAATGATATGAGGGAATACCAGAGCAATTGATTCATTCCGCAGGCAAACGAAAACAGCACTAATGTATAAACGCTGAAGAATTTAAGGATATCGATGACCATTCGGCCCAAACTGATCTGAAGGGGTCCCAAATGGGGGTTCACTGAGAATATGTAGACCAACTTTAATGAGCTGAATATGTTTGCGGCGGCGAACAGTCCCTCAGACAACAGAATCGGGTCGAAGGCGTCCCAGTTTTCACGGGGCAGATGAGCCGTTCCCGTGTGCAGTAATATCTCTTTTTGGATCTATTTATTTGTAATAAATATTTGATTATTTTGGATATTTAGCCGACAAAATGTATTTCAATGTTACGCTAATTGTTATAATAAATATTTATATTACTTGTAAATACGCGATAACTCTCAATGCAATTGTTGCCACATATCTGTAAGTATAGGAATTTGTGTTGTCATTGAAATGCAANCAGTAATATCTCTTTTTGGATCTATTTATTTGTAATAAATATTTGATTATTTTGGATATTTAGCCGACAAAATGTATTTCAATGTTACGCTAATTGTTATAATAAATATTTATATTACTTGTAAATAAGCGATAACTCTCAATGCAATTGTTGCCACATATCTGTAAGTATTGGAATTTGTGTTGTCATTGAAATGCAATTTTGTTGTTAATAGGAATTATTTACAAAGAATTTGTGATGAAATCAAGAATATTCCACATATCGCTTAAATAGTCGGCAATTCCTAAATCCCACAATTGTTTTACTTCACTCCATATTAAACCTGATATGCAAAGCAAATAATGTAAAAATTTTGGTAATAAATTTAAACACAACTAATTATGTGTAGGCAAAGTGTGATAGATGTTACCTAAAACCCAGGCTAGAATGCATAGTTCAATGGGAGAGGGAGGCGCTCCCCTATAATATCGTACACAACAATAGTTTATTTTTCTTGTAAGAAAATTGACAGCAATTATAGGATAATAACCTTTTCGTTGTTACAAATTCTTGTGCAAATGTATTGCTAAATATATCGGTCTCTATTCGTTGTGACGCCAGTATTAATAATACTAAACAAACAT